GTGTGGAATGAGTTGCAAGGGCGCCTTGGGGAGAGAGCAAGCACCTCTTTGGAGCAGAAGTTCCTGGGAGAAGCTCCTACAGAGATGGGGTGGGATCCTGGCTGTGAAATTTTCTGCCAATGAGAGGATAGGAGCCTTCTACGAACAGAGGATTTTGAGTCTAGCTCCACAACTAGAGGTATCACCCCATTTGAAAGCTGAAAAAGTCAAAGCAAGGAGGCTGAATCAGTGTTACAGGGATGGTGATGTCTTTGGGATGAGGTGTGAACTTGGCATTGGGCCTTTGGGGTTCAAGGTGATACTTAGACCATTAGCTGTTTTCAACCAAGAGCAAAAGAAACCTGCTGGAGCACCACCCATGCTAAAGATGGTTATTAGCTCAAACCCAGGATTCTGGGGATAAGGCTTTCTGGGAAGCATGCCATGGAGGAGGGGTTCTCTGGGACACTTTCCCTCAGGCAGCTGTTTCAGAAGCTTGGAGTGCCCATCTCCAGCCCTGGGCCCTGTAACTGGCCCTGGAAGGCATAGCTCTCCTCTGCAACAACACTCAGCTGTCTTCTGGTAAGAGAGGCGTTAGCAAGGCCAGTCCTTTGTGGGCAAGCCTGACTCATCCCTTCTGGCTACCTGCCCTGGGCTATGGACTCCCTGCCTACATCTTCTGAGGGGTGCCCTGCTTCTCAGACCCAGCCAAGGGCCCTTCTTAGAGTGCCCAGCACCAAACCAGAGTATCAAATATTGTCTCCTTCCTAAATACTGGAACTGGAAATGGGAAACAGAAGCTCAGAGAGTTGATGGGTCATAGGTGTTCCTCAAACACTCAAGGCTGGACCTAGACGGAACAAGAACTGGAGCTTCACCTGGGTTTTCAAACTGCTACCTCTGTGCTTTTTCATAATCCTGTCTTTGTACTCTCTCTCCAACCACATCCTTCCATCTTCAAAACTCCTTCAGAGGGAGCCCTCCTGCTACAGTGTCCCATCTGGAGATTTGCCCACAATGCCTCTCTATTCGCTCTTGTTAGTTACTTGCTCTCCTACTCTGCTTCCCGACAGCCTCCCAGAGATGACTGTGTCTGCCTCCACAGTGTGCGTTCCTAAGGTAGGATGCAGACTTGGATGCTGAGTGGGGGGTTTGCCATGTGGCAACTATGAAGTAGTCCCAGGGGAACCCCTCCTTCATGGCCTGCTGGACGAGCAGTCTAGCATCCTTGGTGGGGGGCCAGCGGCTGGGCATCACTGGGTTCCTGCCCTCCTCACCCACCCCTTCTGTGGGTTCAGGCTCCTTCTGAGGGCGGCTCAGCGGGGTCATGGGAAGGGGACGACAGAAACAAGCTGCAAAGTGTCAGGTAGCAGGCGGAGCTGCACAGGAGAGCAGCCTTCACTTCCTGTGGGTGAGGGCCCCAGTGCCTACCCCTGGGGAGCTTGCACAAGTTCTTTCTTCACAGGCCTCTCAGGCTGCCTGCCTGTCTGCCTGGCCTCCGGACCCGCCTGCCTCTGCCTCTGGCCGCTGCCTCCCACACTTGCCTGGCATCCTCACTTGCAGTTCCGCAGCCTGGACTGTGTCCTCCATCACTTTGGTGCTGGCCAGAGGCCGGACGGACGCAGGGAACCGCCCTCCCATCACTGGGCACTGCTCCTTCCTCATTTTGCTGCTGATTCTAGCCCCAAACAAAACAGGTTGCGTCCTTCTCCCCCTCCGGCAGTTCTCTGGCTTGTGGCTGCCTTCTGAAGAGCCAAGTGGGGCAGGGGGCCTGGGCCAACCCTGCCAGTTCTGGGACAGTGCTCCTGGCTCCTGGCCACCCCACAGCCCTGCCTGTGGCTGGGGAGTGAGCGTGGCTGTGGCAGACCTGAGGATGATGCCCCAACTTCTGTTCAAAGATGCCTTTTGGGTAAGTGGAGACGCTGGGGTGTTGAACAGTGTAATGTGGTGAACTCTCTGTGGTCGTTGATGGGGACGCAGCTCCAAGAGAGGAGTTTTCTCACAAAAATAGTGATTGATTTTTGGTCTTAACTGCTGTGAAGTTGACTCGGGCCACCGTGTCCTCTGAGTTAGAAGGTCAGGGGGTGCTGATTTCTCTACAAATCGGGGTCCTCGTGCTCTCAGGGTTGACTTCCCTTTCCCCATAGTAGGCTCCTGTCAGGAAAGGCTATCTGTGAGTGGGCACTGGAGGGGGCCATTCGGGGCAGAGGCACGAGAGGGTCGCAGGTCTAGACACAGGAGAAACATGAATTCACTTCTTGGCTCTCCTCCACAGCAGCTGGGCAAACCTTTTTCCTACTCTATCCTCATGTGCCCTCATGGGCTCCGCAGAAAGGTTAGACACTGTCATCTAAGTGCTCAAGTCCCTGGCACCTTGCTTGCAGCCAAGTGCTCACTCTCTTCCCCACACCCGATCTCTTCCTTTGCAGACCTCAGGGGTCTTTTGAGGAGGCAGTCAGGCTCGACAAGTCCTCGCTGCTTCCCTAAATTCAGCACAGGGATGAATCAGGTGCCTCCTCCCATCCCCGCCCCCACCGTGGATTCGGCATCTGGTAAAGTGCTTGGCCCACATAGCCAGGAAGCCTAGCTTGGACCCCAGTTCCCTCCAGTTTTTTCCAGTGTCCCTCAATCATTTTCCTGATCCTCAAGCTCTGACTGTCCCCGGTGGCACAAGGGGAAAGGCCAGGACTACTCCAGCCAGAGCTGGGAGTGTGAGTGTCCCCAAGACAACACATAGTACTCCCTGGCCAGCAGCTCAGCAGCTCAGTCGTGGTCTGGCATGACACTTCCTGGGCCTTATCCTGAGGCCAATGACAAGAACTAATGAGCAGGCCTTCCTTCTCTTGAAGGTCTGGCACTACTTAGGGCTGGCAGCCAGTGTGAATGGCCTGCTTCTTAAGGGCACTGGTCACGTGGTGGACAGAGGGAGGCCTGGGGAGTACATGAGCCTCTCTGGCCTCCGTTTCCCCACCTCTACAAAGAGGTCCGGCCCAGGGAAGCTCATGGAGGCAGACCTGGCACTGCCCATCCCAAGCACCCGCTGGCCACAGGGGTACTTGAGGGGATGGGGGATTAGGGTAGGGTTGACATAGGCTAGGGGCAGTGAGTGACCACGTCTCTGCTCTGACTTGGAGTACAAAACTGGGGAAAGATAAAGATAGGGACCTGGGAATTCCGGGGTGGCCTGGAGCTCAAGGTAGGCCAGGAGATCCCGATCAATTTTCCTCCAGGCCATTTGTCCCAGTCCCAACCCTGGCCCACCGAAGGTAGAGCTGGAGCAGCATCTGGGCAGAGAGGATGGCGTAGGGGGGCGCAGAGTGTGGTGGCGGCAGCAGGAAAGCAGCCCAACTGTGGCAGATCCTGAGAAGCACCTTCCACAGTCTGCACTGGCCCCACCTGTGTGTCATGGCCTCGTGCTGGCTGCCTGGGCCCAGGGTGAGGGTACAGCTTTCCTCGGGAAGATCAGAGAGGGGTTGAGAAGAAGTGGCCAGGAGGATCCTTGCACACTGAGCCTGGACAGAGGCCCCTGAAGATCATTGTCGCCATCATAGCCCCCAAGTTCTGAATTGTCAAACCTGTCCCCGAAGCTCAGCTCAGCCTAGTGGTGAAGACTATCCCAGTGCTGTTGCAGGTCTGCGCATCCATTCGCTCATTTACTACTACAGCAACTGATGCTACAGATACTATAACTATTGCTATCTCTAGTATTGTAGGAGGCAACTAAGGCAAAACAAAGAGTTTAGGTAACTTGCTAGGGTCTGTACTGGAATTAACCACTACCAGTCTGGGCTCTTACTCAGGGGGCTTCATTAGCCCTCTTGCTACCTGGTGCATCACTGAATCTTTTGGCCAAGGTGAAATGGAGGGAGAAAGTCTGCCCTTCCTAATTCCCAGAAAACTAAGATCAGGTGAGGTCAGGACAAATAGGTGAAGTTCAGTTTATAGAAACATTTGTAAAACAGAAGAGACCTACTGATATAACTGGGCTGCTGGGGACAGAGCCCAGCCTGCCCTGCCTGCAGCCTAGAGCAAGACCATTAAAGCCTGCAGTTTGATGGTGCATTGCTAGAAATTGACTAGTTAAATAATGGGAGGAATCCCTGACTTAGACCTAGAAGGTTCTTGTCTAATAGCGCAGCATTTCACCTCTATGGACGCACTGAGCACTGGCCCCTGTCTGTACTGGATTGCAGCGAGGAGGGGAATAAAAGTGCTTTCTGAGTTACTAAAAGCTTCCATTTAACCATATACTGTGCTCATAGAAAGTGCGCCAACGCTCTTACTTGGGGTCGATGAACTCTGATTTTACCCACAATTTTTAGGAGCTAGGCCATGTGGTCTTTTAATCAGCAGATGCTGCGATTAGGAGGGTATAGGTGGGATGTGACATGTGGTTGGTGATTGATGAATGTTGCTGGACCTGGACTATTAGAAACAGCTTCACATGTGGTTTGTAGGCCATGGCAAGGGAGGACACAGAAAAACTATAAAAAGCTGACACAATGGCTCAAAAGTGGTGGGGACAGCAGTGTGAGAACTAGCCCGCCCATGCCTCTGTGGACCTGTATTTGTGATGCTGTTTGTGTGGCCACCCAGTATTTATTTATAGCCTTTTATCTGTGGCAGGACATTGAGACATGGGCTGCTGTGGGAGTGTGGCGGGAGCCAGTGAGCCACAGGGGGAAAGAAGGGATAACTTGATTTAGTTACATACACACAGTGACAAAGAACGTCCTGGCTAGGCAGGAAGTCCGTGGCTGAGCCTCAGAATTGGGCCAGCCCATGAGACCAGCCAGAGGCTGAGAACACTAGTGTCCAAGTGGAGAGGGCTGAGCTCTCCTGTTATGCGCTGCAGTGCTGAGTCAAAGGGGTGCAAACCCTGGAGAAGGGCCCCTGTGATCTGTGCACGGAGTGTGGCCAGTGGCTCTGATCCCAGTAGGCAGACTGCGCTGCCAGAGACATCTGCTCGCTGTGCTCATTCAAGGTTGCAGAGTGAAAGACCTAGCAGTGGTGTCTCCCTGGTCCCAACTGCCTCCCTAAGCCTATTTTTCCCTTCACTTCACTTAACTATATTCCATAAATAATTTCAAGCAGACTTTCTGTTATGTAGCCCAAGCTGGACCCCTGAGCTTTACCCACCTCCAGGAGCAGATGCATGAGACGCGTGCAGAACTGGTTGCCCACCCCCCGGACCACAGGGGCAATGCTCCAGACATGCCCCTCCCCCCCCAAGTGCTATCCCGCCTTTGCAGATGCCAGTGCATATTGTTTTAAGAGTGAAAACCTAGTCTAGCCCAGGATTCACTGTGACCCATGTCCTAGCCTTTTGGGCCATAGGCCAGACCGTGTCTCCTTCCTGCAGTGAGTGGGAGCAATCAAAGGGACAGTGAAGGGGCCTGAACTTCTCCCTCTGACTTGTGGCCACCTTTCTCCTTATTGAGTTTGTTTCATTGAGGTTGTTGTGGAAACCTCTGTGTTGAGTGGGGAGAGGCTGTGCTCCCATCTGGCAGGGGAAGGTGCCACTTCCTGGGGTGGATGGGGTGACTCACCAGAAATGACAGGGGGGTTGGGGGGGCCCTTCCTCTGGGCCTCCCTGCCCCCATGGGTGCCTCTTCCCCTTTCCACTTTGGAGACTGAAGTTAAGTTCCCCATTTAGGAGACTGCAGAGGAGTCCTAAAGCCGCCCAGCACCCAGGGGCCTTGAGCAGCAGAGAGAGGCTGATGTTCTCTGCGCTTATTCTGCTCTGGCATGTAGAGCTCTGTATCTACCCTTGAAAGACAAAATCCATAGCTGTAAAAAGAAGGGTGGGAAATGAGCAGAAAACAGGGGAGAAGTCTGGAGCTCTTTGCACAGAGAGAGTCATAGGTTTTGTCTTGCTAGGTTTCCCTGAGACTTTCTCACAAGCATGTTGAATACACAATTTCATGTCCTCCCCAGCTCTTTTCCCCTTGCATTTAAAATTTTTCATTTGCAGCTGTGGTAACGTACACATGACATGAAAAGTACTGCCTGGACCTTTCTGCATTCGGTTCAGTAGTAAGTCTATCCTCAATGGCAGCTGCGCCCCTCCCCTTCACCTTGAGCTTGCGTAGGTATGTGGATCATTTCCTTATTTTCAGGACACCATGTTAATGACTCCTTGTTCTTCCAGCTTGTGGAATTGGTAGATTTGCTCTGATTTGTTTGCCTTATCCTTATTACCGTTGGACGTTTAAGTCCCTCCAGTATTTCCCTACTCTGGACAGTGACACCATGGGCAGATTCCCAGAGGAGACATTTCTGGGGGAAGCCCTGGCACTGACTGGTTCTGTAGAACTTGGCCCTAGCTGTCACTTTGGGCTGGACAGGAGTGTTTTATGCAAGAAGGAAAAGTCAAAGTGGCCTGGGAGAGCCTGGGAGGGCCAGGTCAAGAGTAGATCTGCTGGGAGCCAAATGCTGCTCAGGCTTCCAGGAAGCACCCGCCAAGGGAAGCCCCCTGTGACTTGAGGCTGAAGCCAGCAGGTCCCCTGGAGCAGGCGTGAAAGGTGGAGAGGGTGTCTGGTTGGCCCAGCACCTTCCTGGCCATGACTGCGAGGAGGCAAAGCGGATGGGCTCTCAGAGGCTCTCACAGTACCACTTGGGAAAGCTCTTCATGGTATTGCAAGGAAAAGAAGAGCCAAATGGTGTCTGGTAAACAATCTGTTGTAAAAAGTGGAGGCAGTTGGCATATACTTTGGCACCCACTTATATAACAAGGAGAATTCTGCAAGGACAAGCTGAGGGCTCATTAAAGTGGGGGCTTGTTGGAGGAGTGCAAAAAGAGACATTAGGGAGACAGGGCTGGTGGAATGTGCTCTTTAAACACTGTTGGATTGTTGAACCAGTTAGATGTATTACTCATGGCAAACACTAACTGGCACAATTAAAGAT